CCCTGTCTGAGACTGAACTGTAGAGGGATTGAGACTAGGTGGTACACGTACCTAGCACAATTACCGATGACGGTAAAGGTGGAACTTTTATAAAAGGACGCTTGCACTCAAAAAAGAGGCGGCAGATACAACATGCATTCCAAACTCCCAAGGACTCAAAACTGAACACTTCAACTGTACGTGTCTCCCAACCACCAGCTACATCTTCAGACCATCCAAAGCATTCAGATCTGCCCCTGTCCTACTTATAATTTTAGAAGTTACACACCGGGGTGGGGGAGGACAGGACAGAGAAGAAAAGAACCAAGATGCAACCCAAACCCAAGCTCTCCTCCAAAATGCCAAGAGGGCAAGTCTTCAGTTTCCCCCACTTGCTCGCCTACAGTGTAGAGTGGAATCATTTCTACCACAGGAGAACATCCTCACAGGGTTGGTCTGACTGGTCTAAGCTCGTGGAGCATCAGGAGTTAAGTCAGTTAGTTCTCAGGACTTTATTTAAATAGAGTCCCACTCATTAAAATCTCCATTCTAATAACGAAAAAAAATTCGTGTACTAGAAAATAAAGCAAGCCCACCATCCCCTCTTTCCCCAGCTACATGGATCCAACATCTTCAGCCCAGACACTGAAGTCAGAGTAAAGGTTTTCGAAAAGACACCATGGTGAAGTCCACTGAAGATAAATGGAATATATAAGTGAAATATATAAATGAGTTCCTTTAAATGTGCTTTGAAGTAAATCACTAGAAATACCCGAGGAAGCTCATGGTTTTGTTTTTTTTGGGAGGGGGGGTTGTTGTAACACGGGAAAAAAATTATGTGTTCCAGTTTTCTCTTAAATTGCTTATTGGGTGATCTGAATTTTGACTTAAGCCAGATTCAACAACCATTCCTTGAAGTGCTTTGCCTTATGAAGCCCTTTGGGCTGGAGGCAACATGGATTAAATAAAACCCAGTCTCTTCTCCCCTTACCTTTCTCATAATCTATCCGGGAGGGACACATCATGGTAGGCACTGGGCAAAATAGAACATAAAGGGAGTACACCAAGGTGCCGAGACAGAGAGGAGGAGAAAAGCTACGATTAAAGATCAGTGAGAGAGGTTAAGAAGGGTGGAAAAAGAGAGAAGGAAGCAGAGGAAAGCTCCATCCAGATGATGGTATTTGAAGTGGGCCTCAAAGGCTGGAGAATAAATAGGCAAAACCAGTCTTCTGCCCTAAGAATGGATATTAACTTTGCCCTATCAGTTCCATAGGGAGAGACTTCCCCTCCTCAAGGAGGTCAAGTCTGCCACTAATACTCTTTTAAAACAGTCTCTCAAACTTCAATTCAAACAAAAGAAAGTGTTAAGAAGACTCAACATGTAAAAGAATAAGGCTTAGTTTTTCCTAAAAGAGACTGATTTGAAGCTAATTTGGGATATGCCAGGGTTAAATTAAGCTCCCTCTAGCTCCTTTTCAAGTTCACTTCCCCCCCTACTTATCTCCCTGTCCCACCCCCCAGGAAAGACCCAATATGCAAAACCTAATAATATAAAAGGCCCAGCTAAGTAATTTCAATTCTGCAAAGCTCATGGGGTCAAAATTACCAAAGAGACAAATGCATCCTCAGAACCATCAAAGAAATCATTTATACCAATGGGAAAGTCACATACCCCAAACAAACAGCAAACCCATTGTAGAGAGAAACCCAGCTCCTGTTCTGACAACACAGAATCTATTTCAGGCTGCATAAAACATAACAAGCAAAATAAATCCAAGGTACAAGCAAAATGCTGCTGCCTCCTCTTTTGTTTCGGGCACAATGCAACAAGGGCAGCCTGTCTGGGGCTCTGCTCCTGCTGATACAGGATTTGCTGCTGAACCTCCTCAAGGTCACAGCCAATTTCAGTTCTGGAATAAAAGGCAGATAGTGGCAGTGATGGTTTGGGTTATCACTGGCAGAAAAGCAGAGTGTAAAAGTTTATGAGCTCATCAGGATTGTTGTACCATTACATCAGAGGCAATTATAAATGGCCAAGAGCAGGAGATGGGGAGCCAATCAGATCACAGATAGGATGTCAACCTAAGACCAACTGTCTCCTGGCTTTGACAGAAGGATTTTACCTCCATAATTCAAATCCCAAACCAAAGCAATCTGCACTCACTACTCCAATCACTCAGCTGTTTACCAGCGCTTCCAGGGAGAAGCCCAGGCCACTGGGCCAGCAGAGACCAAGAAAGGAGATGGCCGGGGGCCGACCTGGACACGCTGCAGCCTCGCTCTAGCCGACCAAATGAGGCCCCTTCCCTCCCTCCAAGGGCCTCAGGGGCCAAGGGACCCCCTGGGCCCGACTGCAGGCAGGGAAGGGGCTGCCCAGGGAGGGCCCATGCGCGGGGGTGGGGGGTGGGGAGTGGGAGATTTCCCCTGGAGGCTCGGCAGAGGCTGCCAAGGGCTACACCCCAAAGCCCGTGAGAAGCACGCGACGCCCCCCTGACCCTGGGCCTGGCCCGTGCCCTCCCCTCTCCCCCAAGCCCTCCCAAGAGCGCGCACCCCCAGCCCCAAAGGCAGAGGCGACGGAGGGTGGGCGAAAGCCCCCGAGACGGCTCTCTGGGAAGCCCCACACAAAGGCTGGGGAGCCCAGGCAAGGAAGGCAGCAAGGCAGCCATTTTAGGAGCAGAGAAGAGTGAGACAATGGCAGCTCCCCAGCCGGGTGGGCCCGGGCGGGCCGGGGGCTCCGGCGCCCCCCTCCCCGCCCCGGCCGGCGGCTGGCTCGCCCCCCCCCTCCCCGGACGCCTCCCCTCTCGGAGCGCTCCCTTTACCTGCGGGGTCCGGGTGAGCGGCTGCCCGGCGCCGCCGCTGCTGCTCCCGGGGCTCATGGGCGCGTGGTGGCTCCTTTGTTGGCCGGCTCCCGAGGCGGCCGACCCCCAGGCCTGGCCGCTGCCTGCGTACTGCGAGGCCAAGTCTGCGGGGCCCTTGCCGGTGCCCCCGTCCTGGGGCCCGCCCCCGCCGTAGTCGCTGCCGGGGTAGCCCGGGTAGCCCCGCGCCGAGCTGGGCGACGTGAGCAGCTGGTTGAGGGTGGGGGTGGCCGTGGGCTGCGGAGTGCCCCCTCCGGCCGCCGCGGGGCCTCCTCCACCCATAGCCCCGAAGCGCTGCGGAGGAAAGGACGCTGCGGCGGCGGCGGCGGCGGCGGCGGCTGCCGAGGCCGAGGCGCTGGACGCGGGGGGCGGCTTGGAGCCGGCGGCCGCCGAGGCCGGGCCCGGGGCGCCGCCTCTCGGGGAGCCCAGCGCGTAGGCCTGGGGGGGCGGCGGGTAGGCGCTGCGGTTGGGGTAGTAGGAGTTGTACTGGTGGTTGGGGAAGCCGTGGTCGCCGTGCGAGTTCTGCGGGGGCCCCGCGTAGGGCTCCAGGCCGCCGCCGCCGCCTCCGCCGCCGCTCTGCAGCGCTGCCAGGCCAGGGCTTTGTTGTCCGCCATGTTGGTGGAAGACAGCGGCGGCCACGGCGGCGGCGGCGGCCACGGCCGACGGGCTCCGGCCGTACGCCTGCCCGAAGCCGTAAGCTGGGGGCGGCAGGGCGGCCGCGGCAGCGGCCGAGTGAGGAGGCGGCGGCGGCGGCGCCCCCACCCCGTCGCTGCTGCCGCTGCCGCCGCCGCCACCGCCGCCGCCGGGCGGCTCCGGGAGGTTATTGTTCAGGGCGGGCCTGGGCCCCGCGTTCCCGTTGGAGTTCTTGAGGTCCGGCTCCGCGCCGGCCCCGCCGCCGCCGCCCCCGTTGCTCTCGGCCCCGTCCTGGAGCTCCTTGCCGAGCGGCGGCGGCGGCCCCCCGGCGGGGCCCTCGCTTTCCGGGCCGCCGGCCGCTGCCTTCATCTCCCCGCGCTGCTGCTCCGCCGCCGCCGCCGCCTCGCCCCCCGCCTCCTCTCGCTGCTGCTGCTGCTGCTCCGCTTTCTTCAGCTCCGAGGGCGGCGGCGGCGGCGGCGGGTTGCCCAGGCTGCTAGCGGTGGCGGGGGCGACCTGCGCGGCCATGATCCCCGCTGTCTCCTCCGCCGCCGAGCGCCCCGACCCGGGCCTGTCTTCTCCTCCTGCTCCCCCCCACCCCGGGGCCGAGTCCCCCGGGCTCCCCTCCCCACCCGCCGGGCGGGCCTCGGCTGCTGGCGCGGCTCGGGCTCTCGCTCTCGCTCGGGCTCTCGCTCGCTCGCTCAGCTCCTCTCTCTCCCCCCCGCCCCGCCGGCTCAGGCTCCGGGCTGGCGGCGGCGGCGGCGGCGGAGGAGGAGGAGGAGGAGGCGGCGGCGGCCGAGGGGGCGCCGGCGGCTCAGCTGCTCCTGGCTCTGGGGGCTCGGTGCCCGGGTCCCCCGGCTCATTCCCCCAAGCCCTGGCCTGGGAATGAGGGGGGCGGTGGAGGCTCCGCTCCCCAGGGCCTGGCCCCGCTGTGACTCTCCGCTTTCTGCTGCCGGAGAAAGGAGGAGGGAGGGGGAGGGGATCGGGGAGGGGGGAGGGAGGGAGGGAGGGAGCAGGGGGGGAGGGGGACCCGGGACAGGCGGGAGGCGGCAGCAGCGGCGGCGGCGGCCGGGGCGCCGTGCGGGCAGCAGACTAGGGAGGGGCGGGCCGGGCCGCTGCCCCTGCCTCCGGGGCGGCTGCTCGGGGCCGGGGCTGCTGCGGGGCGGGCGGACGGCCGGACTGAGCGGCTGGAGCTCCCCCACTCTTCTCCGAGTCCCCCTCACTCCGACACGAGGCTCAGCACTGCCATTTTACCCAGCGCCGCCGCGGCCGCCTGGCAAACTCGGAACGGAGCGAAGGCCTTGGAACGGACTCTCCTCTGGGCCCCTCACAAAGGAGGAGGAGGGAGGCGAGAGGCGGCAGCAGCAGCAGCGGCGGCACCAGGCCCCGGGCCCCTTCCCCGCACTCAGCAGCGCCGCCACCGACGGCGCCGGGGAAAACCCGGAACGGAGCTGTTCCTCCTCCGGAGCCCGCCCCGCCTCCCTCATCTCTCCTCTTCCCCTCCCCTCCCCTCCCCTCCCCTTCCCTCCCCTCCCCTCCCGGGCCGCACCAAGGGGAGCAGGCGGCGTGAACTTTACCCGCCGAGGCCAAACTGGCCCAGGCCCGCGGCCGCCGGGCAGCGGTCCGCCCGCGGCCCCGCGCTGCCTCCTGGTCCCTCCGGAACACTTTTCTTCTTCCAAGCCCTTGACAAACCCGAAGGAAACCCCCGGCGCGGTGAGCGCGGCCCCGCGCTTCCCCCTTTTCAGCCGGGAGAGAGAGATCATTGTTCAGCTTTGCAGACACTTTCCATTTGCCCATTTCCCTGCCCTCATTAGCCCTCCTGACAAGGCCCCGGGGGCATGGGGGCCGGATTATCCCCATTTTACAGAATTGAAAGACAGAGGGGGAGGGATCCTGCTCCAGGTCACTCAAAGTACGGGGCAGAGAGGACGGCTTTAATAAAAACAAAATACCCTGCCCCAAGGTTGTGCCTTGGGGTCTGCGGCCAGGCGGGCTTAGCCTCTTTTTAAAAAAAAAAAAAAGAAAGAAAAAGTGGTCTGTCAATTTGTGAACAAACCGAACAATAGAATCAAAATGAGTTTGGGATCAAAGCGGAAGGCTCGGGACTGACCTAAAATGGTTAGCACCCGGGCAGCTTTGGTGGCCACTCGGGACTCTAGGGGCCAGGAGTACAGAAGCCTCCTCATGCCTGCCTCTCTAGACAATTGTGCCCCCATTCCCCTCTCTAAAAAGGCAAAAACTAAGACTAAAAATGTTGGCCCAGCAGTTTCTGTGCTTACAAGGACCCGGAAGTTGTCAACTTTCCTATAGGCTAAAAGGGATCGGTACCACGTTTTTTCCCCTCAAGTACGAGAGAATTGGACCAGGCAGCCTGGAACCCACCTGGTCCAATGTAATGTGTATTTCAGGCTGCGGACAATCGGTGCTGCCGGACTTGAAGCTCCAATTCCACATTGCAAGAGATGCAAAAACTTTCAATTGCACAATGGTAAGAATTGAGAGAACCCAAAATGTGGCATTCCCTGGCCCGACAGATCTAGAGTGAACAAACTACAGAGAAGTGCACTTTAGTTCTGCTCTTCTACCTGGTAGGCTATGGCATGCAACTGGCCCATCTAATCCACAGCAGCGTCTCAGTCCTCCAACTGACTTGGAATATTCTTTGAAGGAGGCCTCATTGTTTTGCTCTGTCATGACAGGCTATGAAAACCAGAGAGGATTCCAGCACACCAACAGCACTGGAATCTGCCTTTTGAGAGGCCTCGTCCTGTGTCACCAGACACCCTAGGCCCCTCTTCCGTAACCAGGTTTTGTGTTTTATAAAAGTGGAAGCTCATGGACTAAAGAGTCTTGTGGGGCCCTAGAAGAATTCATCGGCCCAGTTCATTTTAAAAGACTGTTAGAGTTTCTGCTCCTCCTGATATAAACACTGTTGCTCTGAAAATGACATCTTTATCAGGTCGGCTTTAGGGAACAAGAAGTGACTACAATTTAGAAATGGGACTTGTTAAATTGTTTGCTTTCTGAGGTCAGGGCACACATCTTAGGGAGGCAGCCCCGAATGCGGGACCTGGGTTCACATCTAGTCTCTGACCCTGGGTACTTCATAACCTCTCAAGGCTGTGGCTTCCCGGTCTATAAAATGAGGGGGTTGGACTCTAAGGTCTCTGAGGTCCCTCTCAGCTCTAGATCTCTGATCCCCTGATCCTTCTTCCACTGAACATACCTGCCAGGGCTTAGTATTCTCCCATAGAGGCAAAAGAGATATGTATAGATTAGTCCATACTGATTGGATCTTTATGAAAGGGAAGTAATCTGGGAGATCTCCAAATCCGATATTTATACTTTCCAGCAAAAAAGCACCAAGAGCCATGTTTGGACACGAAAACCAACTGACTTGGCACCTGTTTAAATAATGGAGGCCTTGATATCCTCTGTGATAGAAAAAAAGGCTTCTTCCCCACTCCTACCCCTTCTTTTTGCCATCAACCCTCCAAAATACACTATGACAGATGTGAAGTCCCTAGATCACACCGGTTCCTAGCTAGGCAATCTGCCACTTCAGTGATAGTTCTGGAGGGGGAAAAAAGGTAATATTCAATACCTAAAACATCACTTCACTTCTTATTTAGCATAGTAGAAAAACTTACCAATTTCTTCAGGCCCCAGGGATCTTGGCCAATTAATTCACTGGTGGCCACAGTGAATTACAAAAGTAGTCTAGACTACCCTTCACAAAGGAGATTAGAAGACTTCAAATACTGTCCAGTGAATCTAAGGGTGACAAATGAGGCCCAAGACCCTGGTTCAGAGGAACCTCTGGCATTTATTATATTTTTATTTACTTTTTAAAAATATTAAGCAACCAAATCAAATGGCATCCAAAATAGATTTGGAAAACTGACTGGAGTGGGCCAGTGCCCTCATTTCGCTAGGAGTCCTCAGGGGCTACAAATCTCTCGGTGCATGAGGTCCTAGAAACCAAATTACAGGCTGCCTCATAAAGGGAGCTTGGCTATTTAATCAAGTGCCTCTAAGCGGGCAAACAGTCCAGAGTCCTGCACACAAATGAGGAATTTTTACATGCAATTACCCTGCTGTTTTCTTTACAGAGAGCTGTGGTGTAAGGAGAAACCTGGAACTGAATGAGAATCTGGAACCCAGAAAGGATTTTCTCCAAATTAGGCCCTCCTCGTTTGCCCAGTGGCTGTGAAACACAGAACCAGCTCCAGCATCCCTCATTCCAAGCAGAGACTGCACATGTGGGTGCTCTGTATTAAAAACAACCACCATTTTACCCAGTGATGAGACAGGCGGCTGAAAGTCCATTCAGCTGGGTTAGAAGATGACAAGTCAAGTTTTTTCCCCTCCCACATCTCATCCCAAAGTGGGTGGGTGGGTGGGGGGTGAGGGGAAGCTTCCACCTTAAAGTGTCTTCCCCCATCCCCCTCAGCCCTGCACCCACCAAACCAGAGAGAGAGGCATGCCAGAGACTAGAGGCAACTTTCTTTGTAACTGGTCCAGCCGCCCTCACTAGGGGCAATGGCAGCTGGGAAATGGGGGGAGGCTAGCTGGGCACGTGGCTTGCCCAGGGATCCCAGTCCCCGGGCTGGTCCAGGCGGTGAGATCCTTGGGTGGGGACTGTGGGCCCTCCCCCTGGTGGAGTTTCTTTCCTCAACGGCCCTTGCCATTTAACCCGGCAACCTAGCAGCCCAGGAAACCCGGTGTAGATTGGACCAGGACATAGAGGGCTCCCTCATGAAAAGTGCTTCTTGCCAGCAGCAGCCTGATGGCAAATATGGACTGAATCGTTGACATGGAAACCGGACTAAAGTCTCTCCTCAATTCTCTCTCTCTCTCTCTCTCTCTCTCTCTCTCTCTCTCTCTCTCTCTCTCTCTCTCTCTCTCTCTCTCTCTCTCTCTCTCTCTCCCCTCCTTCCCCCCTCTTCTCTCCTCCCTCCCTTCTCCTCTTTCTCTCCCTCCCCCCCTCCTCTCTCTGTCTCCCTCTGTGTCTCTCTGTCTCAGTCTCTGACTCTATCTCTGCTCTCCCCCCCCCCCCGCCCATCTCTCCCTCACAAGAGAGTTCTTATCATTATCCCCAACCACACAGCACACGGCAAACGTGGACTGGATCAGGGGCCTAGAGGATCAGGCAGAGTTGGAGGAGTGGAGGTGGAGGGGGTAAGTGGTAACTGCTGTACTTCCACAGTCCCAGGGAAGAAGACTGAACAAGGACACACAGATTGGAGAGCAGGGAGAATGTTCTCTCCTTTTACTAAGGCGCATAGTGTGTTGGGATACATGGACTAGACCCAAGAGCAAGAGAGCAACCTATTATAATCCAAAGAGTGAGCTGCAAAATGTGGCACAGAGATATGGAGCGGTGGCTGAAGGAGAGGGAAGCGCCTGCAGGGCGAACCTCAGCCCCTTGGGCAGATGCATTTTCCAGTCTCCTTTGAATGTCAGAACAAACAGCTCTAAGATAATTTCCTGCGTTTGCTCCTTCCTCCTTCCCTCCCCCCCCACCAAGGGCCAGATCATGTCTTTCAGGCCCAAGGGATCTCAAGAAGGGCTTTTGTCAGGTTCTATCCTAGCAATAGAGGGGAATGACCCAAGCCCTGAGTTATGCCCCTGCACACGTTTCCCACAAAGGCAAAACAGCAGATATCCAGCAGGGCTCTCTGGAGTGAGACCCGGAGCTAGGAGTTTAAGCAAAAGGGCAACTCTGTCAGTTGACGGAAGCCAGAAGCAAAGTTCAAAGCCTGGCCTGGATTTCCATCTGGAGTGGTCTGTTCCTTAAAAGTTTGCAACTCGGTGCAAAGAAGCAGCCCCAGTGGAGGCTTCAGGATCAATGTGAAAGTCTAGCACTACCATCTGACAGAGAGCTGGAAAACTTTGGGCTGCATATTAAGAGAGGAAAGTGGATTGAAGTGAGAGTCAAGGCAATTCATTATGTTTCCAGCTTCTAAGTGGGAGTGGCAAAATGCGAACTGGAGTAGTAGAGGAGAAAGTGGAATGGAGCCTGAATTGTACTCCACACATCTTCCTCAGTTACTGTGTACCTGACAAGGCCAGAAATCCCAAAGGAGCCCGCCAGGAGGTTTAAAGCACACCCAGGGCACTACCATCTCACAGATTTATGCCACAGGACTCAGAGAAGTGACACCTGGGAGCAAAGTCAAGAAACACTCTAAGAATCCTGAATTTTAAAAGGCCACATTTTACTCACAAAAGGAGGGATTGCTTCTTTGGTATCTGGTACTAAAACAAGGTGACAAGATTCTCCTGAAATTACCACAAAAGGCATTATAGTCTAATACTGCCTGGTAACAAAGCTGAGCCCTTGAAAACAACCTGGCATTCAGAGCTGCTAATGGTACTAACATTCTCACCAACATATTCATGTATTTTCCATAGATACACATACTATACATCCACATATGGGGTCCCCAGACATCTCACTGGTAGCTTTCTGTCTATTCTTTTAGAAAAGGCAGAGTAAACCCATTAATAAAAAACATGGACTGGAGTTTTATGAAACCACTGCACTGGATCAGGAACCCTAATTTCTTATTTCTGCTGAGTTCCACTGGAGATCTGTGTATGTCTAATTGATCCCAAAATGGTCCACTAGAAAGCTACGTGGAAGGTTCCAGGATCAAATTCACTTTTTTCTCCTACCAGATGGTAAAACAGGCAACTTTGTGCCCAGTATTTTTCATTATGCCAGGTTGCTTTAGGATGTGGAATCCTCCACACCAAAGATATTACCAAGTAAAGATGAAGTCACTAATCCCTCAGCCTTCCCTATGAAGGCTACTGCCCATGAGCTGCAATATCTCCAGCTCTGATCTCCCCAACTGAACTGAGGAGAGCTATTGGTGTGTTTCGTCTCAAAGACTATTCTAAGGAAATTTCTCACCTAAAAATGTACTTAAGGGTAACTTTTTTAAAGGTTGGAAGTAGTGGGGAAGGTCAGATTTTTGTAACAGGAGCTCCAACACCTACATGCAAGGCTTTTGGTATTGCTGTTTCTTCTTTTTCTTTAGCCCTAGCATAAAGCTCTCTCAAGCTGCCATTTTACTGAGGTAGGGAAGAAGCAAGGCTGAGTGCTGGGAAGTCTTTCACAGCAACCCCGGAATGGATCTGGAATGGACTCTTTTGCTCCAACACAAGTTCAGGAGAGCATTGGAATGAGGGGTGTGTGTGTGTGTGTGTGTGTGTGTGTGTGTGTGTGTGTGTGTGTACACAAATAAAATGGAAAGTAAGCAGACTTTTCAAAGAGGGAGGCTAACCCAGCAAATGTGTCTTGTCTCCTCAGCCCAGACATCTTTAGAGGAGCCCCAAGGATCCAGTGCAAACATTTTCTGCGGGAGTGAATAAAAAAATCTATAAGACAGTATTAGACAAGTTAGAAAGTGGAAGGCCCCGAAGGGTACATAGTCTGGTTGGGTCTAATGGGGTTTTGACCCACTTATCCCTGTGAAAAGACTGGCTCTCCCTAACACAAGACAAAGTAGACCGAACCCAGTAGAACCTAAGTCAGAGAATGTGGTGTTTTTTGTCTTTGGAGCCCCAGTGCCTAGTACTGTGCCTTGCCTATAGTAGATCTCACCAGTGCCACAGGGAAAAGGCGCTAGGGGGGCTGGGGTGGGAAACTGCAGCAAGTATTGGCACTTTTCCAAAATATAAATGTCTTCCCTGAAATTTTAAAACATTGAAACCAAACTTGGGTAGGGGTGGGAAGGTAGGTTCTTATCTCTTCCATCCCCCACTCCAAAATTAACTGCTGGAGGAACTAGGTCTAAGAGCGGTGTCTTTGCCGTGTCTTACAGATGAAAAGCGAGAACAGACAACGGGAAATGAAGGAAAAACTAATTCAATCCGTTTAGAGCCGCGATGCTTATCGACAGGCTGGTTCAGCCGTGTTCTAACCTAGGCATCTCTCTAGCACAATCTATGGACTCTATTAAGAGGGCACTTCCACAAACTCCCTACTCTCCGACAAAAGCAGAGGATACTATGCAACATTAAGACGTCCTTTTAGTCCCAAGAAACCAAGAGCAAGTTAAAGACGAAAGAGAATTCAGATAGTCCCTTCGGGTCTCACAATACAATTCGAGAGCAGAGTAAAAAGGATAGGTGGAGATCTATGCAAGTGGATTAAAATGATCCTTCCACATGAGAGATAGAGTTCTCGGCTCACTGGCTCTCCTAGTTCAGTTAAGGTTGGAAGTTAGAGGGGAAAAGGGGAGGGAGCATTTTAAGCAGGGGGAGTTCCTCAGCCCTCTACAGCCACTCCCCCTAGCTGTTCAGGGAGTATGGGCCAATCTTTCTCAGCTGGAAAGATTGGAGAGTGGAGGTATCACGTGGCCTTAGAAAAGGAGAAATCCTCCAGAGGAAAACTAGGGGGAGGGGAGGGGAAAGGAGGGGGGGGGGAAATGAGGTGGCCCCAACCTGATTGGCTGGTGAGAAATCTTAGCAATGCTACTGTGCATCATTTTCGCATTATATGTAATTCTTTATAGAGGTTACATAGTAGCCATTTTATAAGCACAATAAAAAACCTCATGGGCTGAGGGTATCGCCTGGTGTACAGAAGTTAGATCTGACCCGAAGGACCATCACCCTTCACTTCATGGTTCAACCGCATTTGAACTGTATCTACTGATCTTCATGCCAGCCTACTCAGATATGGAGCCCATATTGATGGTCGGAAATGCTCTCTTTTCCCCAGTGCGATTTATTGTAAATAGTATTATTATTATTGCCATTAAAAAAAAATCTTAGATCGTAAATTTAGAGCTGGAAGGAACCTTAGAGAACACCTACTCAACCCCCAAATTTCACAGATGAGGAAAATGAGGCCCAAAGACATCCAACAACCTAGGGTAATAAATGACAGAGGCAGGATTTGAACCTAAGTTAGGGCTCTTTCCACTATGATGTGTATTGCTTTTACTCTTTCTGCTTTTCTAGAATTTTTGTTAATGTCCATAGTATATGATATTTTTAATATCCCCCAAAATAAAATGGTTCATACAGAGAAGAGAGAACTGGAATTTGGAATCAAAGCACCTGAGTTTCTGTCCCAGCTCTGCTCCTTATTAAGCTGTGCAACTTGGAATAAGTCACTTCAATTCTCTGGGCCTCAGTTTCTTAATCTGTAAATTGTGGGAGCTAGACTAGATGATTTCTAAAACTACCTTTCAACTCTAAATCCTTTGATCCTAAAATTGGCAGGAGGGCCTCACTGGAGGCAATTAGGAATAGTCGTGCTGAGCTATAGGTTGGTGCTACCATCCCTTCTAGACTACCTAGGGCTAATTCACATCTTCACTGATCCAGTAACTGAAGATTAAGTCAGTAAGTATGATTCTTCATCACTACACAGTGTTGGGTTTTGTTTTTCATTCTACACATCTTGACGCTTGAAAACCCTACTATAATTTTTAGTCTTTGACATCAGCCCCTACTCTGAAGTATGATAACATAAGATTAAAAAAAAATGTTGTATATGAAGAGCAGGAAAAAGAACAAAGATTTTCTAAACAACTGAAAACATGGACCATATGGGGTAATATATGTACCCAGTTACACACAGAATAAAGGAAGTTAATTTTAAAAATTTTAACGTCTTTACTTCTTTACTTTCAACCTCAGAACATGTGTGGTCTAGGATGTAAGTTTTTTTATTCGTTTTTAAGAAGCCCCCAGATGCTAGCCAGGATGAAGGTTACCCCAAACACATCCCACTAGCCATTTTCCAAACAGAATGAAACAGACAGAAAACATGGGAAGGGACTGTATAGGAATGGGGTGCTTTTTAAAGATAACCAGAAGCCTAGGAGAGCCATCTTCCACCTCACCTCTAGCTCCCCGACCCATGGAGGGGTTGAGGAGGAAATGGAGAGACAAGAGTGAAAAGAGATGAGCCTCACCAACTTTCAATGTTCAAAATGTTTGAGAGTCACATCACTTGAACTATATGTTCACATCGTATTTAAAACTCTTTCCAAATGGTATCTAATACAACTGTACTAATTAACTTTCCTCAAAATGGTATAAGACCTACAAACTATTAACATTTCAGACATATGCACAAATTCCATTTGTTATACATGCTACTACAACCTACTTTCTATGATATACTGAAAAAAAAATCTGGAATTTCTCAGCTATTGGATTGTGAATGTTCCAAGAACTATAGAATTTTAGAGCTGAAAGGAACCTTAGAGATCATCTAGTCCAATTTCCCTTCCCCCTCATTCTACAGATGAGGAAACTGAGGCCCAGAATGGGAAGAAACTGTACCAAAGTCACACTACAAGTCAGTGACAGAGCTGGTTAACACATTTAGATCTCTTAACTCAAAGTCCTGTGCCCTTTCAAGTGGGTTGCCATTCAGTTGTTTCAGTCATGTACAACTCTTTATCACCCCGTTTGGGGTTTTCCTGGCAAAGATACTGGAGTGGTTTGCCATTTCCTTGTCCAGCTCATTTTCCAGAGAGGAAACTGAGGCAAACAGGGTTAAGTGATTTGCCTAGGGTCACACAAGCTGGTAAGTGTCTGAGGCCAGATTTGAACTCATAAAGATGAATCTTCCTGACTCCAAGGCCTGGTGCTCTATCCACTGGGCCACCTAGCTGCCTCCTTCCTAATATACCACACTGTCAAAACTAGCCTCAGAATCTCCATTTTCTCCCAATTTTCCAACATTCTTTCTACCTGAATCATAAGATCATTGAACTTAGAGATTGAAGGGGCTTTAAAAATCATGCTATCCACCTCTTCCATTTTACAGACATACAAACAGAGAATTAGATCCCTTAGGTGACTTGCCCAGGGTCATGAAGCTAGAAAGGAGCAGAGTCAGAATTCCCACCCAGGCCCTTGGACTCTAAAGCTGGCAGGCCTTCTTCCATTATGGCCGTGCTGCCCCATGTTGACCAAGTTTCCTCTAAATGAGATAGCCTACTTTCAATTGGCATCCTGGGAGCTTTCAAAAACATCAAAAATGCCAAGTACATATTATTATTACCCCTAGAAAGTTAATATTAAACCTCGATGAGTATCACCTAGGGGAACATACTTCCAAAATGAAATAACAACTCCCTTTTCATACATAATTTCTCCACAAGTTTCTAACAGGAAAGCTCAAGAGCATCCCAGAAAATGGAGAAACAGGACATAAAAAACCTGAACTGAAATCTCTATGAAGGGCCAAGAAGACCCAGAAGTTACATTTGGGAGGCAGCCTTACGTAAGAGAGAAAGCTCTGGATGGGGAGTCAGGAGGCTGAGGTTCCATTCTCTGCTCGCTTCCAAACCAAGTTATGACCTTGGCAAAGTAACTTCCCCTCTCTGGGACTCAGTTTTCTTAAGTGCAAAATAAAGGCATTGGACCAGTTTATTTCTAAGGTGCCCTCCAACTTCAAAATTCTATGATCAGATTCACATTCCTGGTTCAAACTGGTTTGGAGAACATAAATAAGATGATGAATGAGATACTTTGAGATCACCAA